ATTATAACAAAGAATTTGAAAAATCAAATCTATTTTACCACTAACTCCATTAACTTTCATAGTTTCTTACTTGTATTGGATTTGGCATAAATAATGAAAATAAATGGTTATTCACCTATTCACTTTTGTGTTTTTATTGAAGTCAGTTTCACTTTTCAGATTTAATTTAACAATACTATACTCTCAAGCCAGTGTGAACATCTACCCCCCACCTCCCCCCCCACAAAAATGGTCATGAGACTGTAATCCCTTCCCTTCCCTCAATCCCCTGCCTCCCCCCCCACCCAGCACCTCTAAACAATGGAAACTCCTTGACCTAAGGTTTTGTAAAATGCTGCTTTTTTCAGTCTTATGTTTTTGTCCTAGGTTGACCCTGTTACATCCAGAAACTGTTTCCCTGGTGGGCAGTGTATTGTAGAGACTGAGTTTTAATAACCCTTTTTAAACTGGGCAGCACTTGATAGGACTAACTTTCTAACAGTTGACTTTTTTTTTTTTGATAACTTGCACTGGATATTGCTTTCTACTTGTGTGAGAGACATGGTTAAACAGACAATGCAATTTTTGAAATCTGATTCCCAGGGCCTTGTTTTGATGGCTTCCCTCCGCATCTAGGCAACATGATGACCTTGTCAGCTGCTTCTACTGAAAATAGGAGTAACAGCAAAGTGGTTAATCTTAGAAATGTACCCAGCCATTGAAAACGGGATAATGCTTAGCTTTATCTAGCTTATAATGTATCTTTATATATTATCTTATCTTTATATTAGCTTATAATATATTGTAACAGAATGAACAGAGTTTCTGTGGATGTTAAAAGGTACTTGTTGACTCAGTCATTTTCACTTAACTGAAAATGCATAGAGCCAGATGCTCTCTGTATTTCCTCTCTCTGTAAGCTACCATCCTTTTCTCCTGGGATGCACAGTCCTGCCTTTCTGCAGTGAAAAGAGAGCTAGTGCCCTCCCAGAAGAAAAAAAAGCTTTTCTAGTCTTTTCTCTCTTTCCTGTCTTATGCTGAAATATATGGAAACTATTTTTCCTCTGTTACATCACTCATGCCTATTGGCCACATCTCACTGGTTACTGAATCCAGGAAAAAGTGTGGGGAATTAAAAATGAGACCTAACAAAGTGCAAAATATAAATAAAAGGAACACAATTAAAGCTGAAATGCTGAAGAATTTAAAAAGAGGTAAAGCTTCAGAAATAGTTGATAGGAACAGAATATGGCAAAAGAAAAAGAAATCAGGTAGTGAGTAGCAACTGCAAAGCTTCATGGGGCATCTGGGTTCAAAGGCACCTTTAACATTCTTACCAGCATGCCAAGTACAATACAGTGGTGATATGCAGGCTGAAAAAGAAACACCTGCTGTTTCATTTCCCTCGGCCAGATAATTCCCTCTCAAAAAGTTATTGCCTATATACCTTTGGGAGCCTGTAAAGCCAGTCCCAAAGGAGGAGAAGAAACAACAGCAAAGTACTTTACAGTCTCTCTAACTGTGAATCTCTATTTTTGATATTGCAAGTTGCTCCCAGAACTGGCTGAAATATATCCGCTTCTTTTATCAATTGTATTCTTTTGGTGGGTAAGAATATGGATCAGCACAAATAGAATTTTAAGTTGCATAAAATGCTAAATCAAAGTATTTCAAGACAAAGAATATCACAATTAGGTAAGGAAGGAAGTGTGGCAGATAAATCTCAAGTTTCTGATCTACTGACATTTTAAGATGAAGCTATATCTTATGTTTTATCGTTTGTAGGCACCTATCGCATTAGCACTTTTTAAAGGAATAAACAACAATTGCAAAACCATAAAATAGAGATATATGAATATTAAAATGTGATTAATTCAAGAAAAAACAAGAGTTCAGGATGTTCATGTAATTCATGGAAGGGTGTACGCAGGAGGAGTTGATTGGTTTGCAGAGATTAAAGAGTTTTTCACAAAGTATGTTTATTAGAGCATAGCATTGACAGATTTGAGCCTAAAACTTGAGGACTCTTGAGATTTTTATTGATCTCTGAAGCAAAGTTTCAAAAAGGACTTCTTACTTGACATGTAGAATTTTGCATGTGGAATTACTTGCACTGTTAAAACTTTGAATTCACACAGGCAACTATTATTCGCACAGAAAATGTGGGGTTTGTGTAAAGAAACATTGATAAATCTGTCAGCAGCACCTACCCAAACAGCCTGATGTATAATTGTTTGACTTAATTAATGTACATGTTCACACTATTAAGTAACCTCTGTGGCACTTCACAGTTTGTCATCTTTATGCAATTCTCATGGCGTACATAGACAGGAATTCTTTCAGTATTTCCCAGGAATTGACACCCCGATCTGCTTCCTGTAACAACCTGCAGGTCCTGCATGTTAGGACACAAATTGTAGTGGGGATAATTTGGAGAGTGACACCAGGAAGCTCAATGTGCCTGGAGAATTTTGCAATAGCTCTGCACACACACTGAATCTTGTGGCTTAGTGCTGAACACACAGTAGTGTGTGTGAAACATGGTGGCAGTGGATGAGAATCACAGTGAAGTGTGTTATTTGAAGAGTCAACCACACAGCAGAGAGAAGACATTATGGAGAGACTCAGACCCCTGCACATGTGGATTCCCAGTCAAAGAACCTGGCAGCAGCATGGAAGCAACAAAAGGAAGAGCTGACCTTGGTGGATAAGGTTGATTAAATAAGGCTAAACTTTTCCCATTACCTTATTGGGACAAAAGCAGAGAAGTAGGGTGACCACCTTTTCAGTAGGGAAGATGGGACACACGCCCACCTTCCCTCCTCCCTCCCCCCATTGCTGCTGGCATGGCTGGAGCAGAGCCAAGAGGAGTGGGGGGCATATGTGAGCTGCCCACTTCAGGCTCAGGGCCCCCCACCCTGCTGCCTTTCCCTCGGGAGCCCTGCACCAGCCACGTGCCATCTGTCCACCCAGAAGCAGTGGGGGGCACAACTCCAACTCCGTGCTGCTGCTGTCCCCATTGCTGCCAGGAAAGCAGGGAGCACCTTGCCATGGGGGTGCAGCCAGCATGGGGCTCCCAAGGGCAGGGCAGCAGGTCAGGGAGCCCTGAGCCCGCAGGCTGGGAAGTGCCCCCAGCCCCTGCCTCACTGCCTCTCTCACTGTGGGGGACTCGATCTGCCCCTACTCCTGGCTTCTCATATTTCCCCTCCCCCCATGGGCTTACTTGCAAGGACCTGCTCTTCATGCTTCCCAGCTGTATTTCCTGGCCACATGCATGTGTGCGGGCATGTGTGCACGTGGCATCCCTGCTCTCCTTGCAGACCTCCAGCCTGCCAGCCTGCAAGGGGAAACCTGCCATTTCCTGATCCCTGCATACACTGCAAATCTGGGATAAATGCTGTCCCTGGGTCATGCAGCCCAGGACCGGGACTTGAGGTTCCCATTCTGGGACTGACTTGTCCAATTAGGGATGTCTGGTCAGCCTACAGAGAAGTGAATACAACATTTACCTGAAGGGTCCAATAAATTAGAGCAGCTGATGGAGGCTTTTGGTAAGTACAATGATACCCCCCACCCCCCAAGAAATGAGACTGTGGAAAGATACTGTTTATTTTTTGTTTGTTTGTTTTTAACCCAGAATCAGGATCCAGAAGAAGGAATAATTATGTTTCAGAGCTGAAAACTTTGGCATCCACAATTTTGTGAACAAAACAGGCTCCCTTACAGAATTATGTGTGGGATATCTGATCATAGCTAAGGGAGAGATTATTGAAAGAGGCTGATCTGACTCTGGACAAATATGTGCACATTTCATGCACCTCTGAATTATCTAAGAAAAGAACCAAAACAATTGCTGGTGTGGAACACAGGGTTAATTTAAAGGGCCTCGAGAGGCAGAACAAAGGCCAACTGAAAATAATCGCTAGGCTTCAGTGTTGATACTGTGGGAAGCAGCATGAAAAACAGAAGGAGTGCCTGTCTTATAGGCAAAGATGCCTAGACTGTCGGAAACAGAACAATTTTGTGTCCCAGTGCTGCAATAACCCCAGGAGAAATAAAGCCAGAATATGTGCAATAGGGGTGGACATTGAGACTTGATAAGGAAGATGAGGTCTTCTCTGTGTCTTCATCAGATTTAAATATTCTGAACATATGTTCACTAGAGGAAAAAATGCTGCTGAACAGCCATCTGCTATATTTGAAACTAAGTTAGTGGAGAAGCAACCAGACAGATTCCAGCTTAATTGTAAAGGCAACTGCAGTGTAATTCCTGCAGAACTGCTCAGCAATGGTATCAAATTGGAGAGATGTGAGCAGATACTGTTGATGTAAAAAAAAAACAATGTAACAGACTTCAGGCTGGCAGCCTGGATCAGTTAGCCAGCTGACAACAAGCTGTCCATTTAAGGGGCCTCAGCTGACAGGCAGTCATGAGGGGAAGTGACTGGTTAACGGGAAATAAAAGAACAGGAAGGGGGAGGTGCTAGAGGAGGAAATATTCAGATGGAGAGGGAGGGTTCCTGGAAGGAAGAGTACAGGATGAGAGGCCATCTATGCTGGGTGTGTTTTTGGGTTGTTTGATATTTGCAGCTGAACCCCATGGTGCAGATCAACCCCAGGGTTTTGAAGCCTGTGTTGCTGAGACCAGGCTAAGGGCATGTTCTTTTAGATTGTTTTGGTTTTGTCTGAGCCCTGGGAAGCAGAGGAACCCAGGGCATTACAGCTTGTGGTTTTGAGCCCAGAGAAAGATTGTGTTTCTGGGACTGCATTGATTGACTTAAGGACTGGTTTGAGCCAGGTGGAGCTGCGTGATCTAGCTACCTGCTACAAGCAACTATACAACCAGTGGGTAAATGCAGAGTATCAATCCAAAATCCAGGAAACATAAAACAGTACCTCCTGGAATTAGTATTTGGACACTGGTGTTATAGAAATAGACTTTTTACCTATTGCTTTTAATCTTACGTATTTTCTTGAATTTTGCATTGTTTTAAACTTCATTTTTTTTTATTACTCTGTAGCTCAACGTAAGTGCTTGCCCTTTGTGTTCTGTATGGGTGAGAGTGTGTCTGTGGAAAAGGAAAACATCAGCTGGTGACTGGCTGAAGAATGCAGACAGAAAAAAGACCAAACAAGAAGAATCTGCCCCAGAACAGAGAAAGAACAAGGTCAATTAACCTTCAAGGAAGAACAGTGATAAGCCAGCAAGAGCCCAGAGTACTGGGTGATTTGACAAGGCTATAAAAGATGGGGCAAGACATTGATTTTGGGTCTTGTTCTGCATGTCAGCATGGAGCATCAGTTTGTCTGACGGGATGGACTAGCAGGAGCCTGGCTCCTACTTGTGATCAACTTGACTGGCCACTAAGTTGATACGAGTACTGATAAGACTGTTAACATATAACAGTGCAGAACAGAAATTGGGGTATGAATCTTGGGTGTGTGTGTGAATTAAGCACTTAGTCAGTAAACACAGAAGTTTGCCTTATCCTCCCTCATAAGGTCTCACTCGTGATATGAGCAATTGGCAACTTGTGTAACACTAGGGAATGTTGTCCACTATTAGGCAGCCAAGTAGTGTAACTATGAACCTGATCTCAGTGCAACACCAGAATATCCTTCACATGAGACAGGAGGAAGAAAACACAGCATGGTCCTTGACAGATGTTTTACAGGAGTTCAGAGATGTATTTGAGGGAGATGAGCACATAGAGAGAATGCTCAAGTTAAAAACAGACCCACAGCTACAGCCTGTATGACTGACTTCTTTAAAATGCAGAGTACCACTAGCCCTGATGGAGCCACTCAAAGAACCATGTCTACAAGAAATGCTTCACTGCACAATAGATCAAATTACTGCACAGTAAGCATCACCATCTACACATGCAGATACTTACCACACAAAAATTTCCTTTACTCCAGAGTTAGTTTGCTACCTACAAATGCAAGTAGCAGATTTAATTCTGAAGTGGTTACTGCACAGTAATGTACATGTAGACATTGATCAGAAGCAAACTGGCTCCCAGTCAGCACCACCACCAGGGGGCCACCTGTAGGCTAGCCCCAGGGCCATGGGGATGGGAGTTTCCCAAGCCCCAGGGCTGGGTGGGGGTGCACTTTTCCTGCTGCAGCCTCTGGCTCTTGAAAGAAAGTGGGGACACTGGGGCCTGGGCCTCTTGCTACCACTGTGTTGCACAGCAGAGGCCCCTGTCCAGCTGCAGGAGCCTGCCTGCACTCCACTGCTGGTCCCTGGCACACTATCATTGCATGGCTGCCTAACTTATGTCATCACACTGTGCTGGGTGCTGCAGGCAGCTGCAAGGCCCAGCAGCAAATTGGGCCACCTGCAGCCAGCCTCTGGCCACTGGGTCCTACTCCCCAGCTGCAGCAGCCTGCCTAGGCCTTGCTACTGGTCCCTGGCACGCCGTTGTCACATGCCTGTTTGTCCTGCTCTGTGTCCCTGCACTGCAAACTGCAGGCACCTACCCAGGACTAGCAGCACCTAAACTGTCTCAGGGAAGATCAGTGAGCCATTGAGGGAACCATGCTGGTGTTGTCCCTGATGGCATATGCTGCCTCCTGGGGCTGGAACTGGTCCCAGGAGGTGACTGCAGACCTTGTGGTGCCATGGGGTGAGGCCCAGGTCCTCAACCAATTTGCCTGGAGCAGGGACTCGAATGTGCACATATATGAAGGCCTGTTGGGCCACATGCAGGACGATGGACATGACTGGTTGGCACACCAGTGCTGTGTAAAGGTCAAAGCCTTGCAGGCACAGTAGGTCACTGTCACCAACCACAACTGCTGGTTGGGGCCTCCCCCAAGTACATGCCCTTAATGTGGCAGCTGGATGACATCCTCGCACCCCTGGACCCTGGTTAGAGCCATACTGTCTACTTCAGCATGGGCAGCCTGCCCAAGCCTCTGCACAGCTTGCTGGCCATGACAAAGCATCAGTGGGTCAGGGGCCTCAGGACATCAGGAGCCCATCCTGCCACTAGTCTCACCCCAGCCTCATTAAATAGCTCCAGAAGCCTGAGCTAGTGCCTGCCTCACCAGCTCCAGGTATACTGCCCCACCCAGGAGGCCACGCCAGCCATACCACTGCTGGAACTGCCATCCCTCAGCAGTCCCAGCTCCTCCGCAGAGGGGTCTTCTGCCCTTGCACCCCAGGACACTGCTTGGAGCAAACAGCTCCTCACAGCACACCCAGGGCATTCTTATTCGGGGCATGCTTGGGGTGCAGGGATGGCACATGGTGGGACTGGACCCCAGGGCACCTCTACAGAGAGGCTCCTGGGGGGAGCATGGGGGCACCACCAGCTCCCTGTTTTAGCCAGCTGGGATCCCTTTGCCCCCTGAGCCTGGGTGTCGTGGGCTTGGCAGCAGTGCAAGAGACAGCCTGCCTGCAGTGGCCCACCTGCACCTGCAGAGTGAGCAGGGATGGGGGCTCAACTAGTGGGCACCTGTGCCAGGGCCTGCCTGGATGACTTACCATGGTCCATGGGCACCTGTGCATGCGCAACCCCTGATCTTAGGCTGGGCAACACACAGCCCCCTGGTATACAGCATGTTATTTCATAAACATTGCAAACTCTCACAAACAGCTTCTTTCTCCTGGCTCTGTAGGTCCTGCAGCTCCACATGGGGGAGAGGCACCAGCTGCTAACTGGGATGTGCCTTCAAGGTCACTGCCAGCCTTGGCTGAAGCCCTGCATATGTGCCTGTTGTGGCAGTAGAGGACCCAGGACTGGATTTGGATGCTGGCCTGTCTGGTCACAGTGGCTGAGGGGCAGCTGGTAGACTGGCAAATCTGGTGAACAGAAAATATTACATGTGAGGGAGAGGGATGGGGTGAACCAGGAGTTCTGGGACAGGCTCCTGGCCCTCAAGGAAGTTCAGGAATGGCAGGCTTCCTTGGTGACCAGGACATTGGAGGCCACAGAGGAGGGCCATCGGGTGCTGTACACTGTTCTGGCCCTGGCAGTCACTGCCCAGCCTCCAACTACAGCCCCACCTGCCCTCTGGCATCTTCCCACTACCAAGGAGCAAGCCCCTCAGTTGGCCTGGGCTAAAGTGTAGCTGCCCCTCCGCTGGCCAGGTTCTCCTGCATGGGTCCCTCACCCCAGGACCTCCCTCACTGCTCACCCACACTCCTTGCAGCCCTGGAGCAGGAGCTGCCTGCAGCAGGGCCAACACTGCACATGGGCCCTGGTGGCCCAGCCCACTAGCTGCAGGAAGAGGAGCTGGCCACCATTGCCCCTATGTGAGCTGCCCACCTGCCAGTCTTGCTGTGGTGGGTTCACTAGTGGGGGGTGCTACCAGAGGGTGGGGGGTCGGGAAGCTGTCCCCAGGCTCTACCCCCTAGTCCCCCCCCCACCATCCAAGAAGGGCACACACAGCATGTACTGGATAGAGTCTGCACAGGAAGAGGCTGCTTTACTGGTGGTGAGTGACATGAGTTGTGGAGAGGCTTTGTGGAGGGGAGGGGGAGGGGTTCTGTGGTTTGGGAGGTGGGGGGATGGGGTCTGTTGTTGGAGAGGGAAGGGAAGGGCTTTATTGTTGGGGAGAGAGGGGGAAGAGTAGTTTGTGTTTGTGGAGGGGAATAAAGTGCACATCCTGGAGGGCATTGCATGCCTCTACAACAGCCTCCCCAGTAGTCACCTTGCCTATGATGGGCACTATTTCAGTGGAGGAGAAGCTGGGGGGGCATGGCCAGCTTAAGCAGGGTGATGACCAGTTGGGTGTCTGTGGGGAGGAGCTGTCACATGGTGGTGGTCTGTCACTGCACGTGCAGGTGGTGCTGCTCAAGGGGGTCCTGGAAGGTGGTCTGGGTCATCCAGAACAACTGTAGCCATAGCTTGTCATCCCCAGTGGTCTGCACAATGTGCAGCCACCAATCCTGGATGGATGGATGGCTCCACAGGTGGCAGGACTGGAATCCCAGGAGTGCATGGACAGCATCAGTGGTGGTGTCCAAGTGCATATCATTGGTGTCCCTCCCAGGGCCTGGGTGGCAGCACAGGGTCCTGGCAGCAGCAATGCAGTACCAAATGCCTACACATGTAGACACCTGCCTACACATGTAGACACCTGCCCAGGGTGGGTTTATTCTGAAGTAAGTTACTCTGAAGTAAACCCATCCAGCAGCATTTGCACATGTAGACATGCCCAAAGGGGAACTAACAAGCCTTACAAGAAGGGCCATTATTAAACCAATGGTAATTAGTATTGAGTGGATCAGTATCTAGTCAGTACTAAGAAAGAGCTGCCAAACTGAGGATCTGTATAGATCAAAACCTCTGAACAGGGCATTGAAAAGAAGCTGTTATCCATTGCTCCCTCTTGAGGACATACTGCCTGAACTATTTAGGGCAAAAGTTCATGGTTTGTGATATAAAAAAAATGGATTCTGGCAGATTAGCTTGAGGACTCAATGAGCTCATCTGACAACCTTTGCAACCACCTTTGGCCAATTACCCATGAGCATTCTTACCCAGGGTATCAGTCTCACCTCACACGCGTTCCAGCGCAAACTGAATCAGGCAGTAGATGGACTTTCAGGAATCAGGACTGAAGATGATAATTTGCTTGTGTGGGACAGAGATAGTCAGGAAGACGGTATCTAGACCATGACGCTAAGCTGTTACAACTCCTAAACAGATGTAGGAAGCAGAATATTAAGTTAAATTCGGAGAAACTGAAGCTGGGAACTAAGGTTCCCTACATGGGGCATCTTTTGATCTTGACGGGACTCTAGCCTGACCCTGAGAAACTGAAACCAATTAAACAAACACTCAGACCACAAGATGTGAAGGCAGTCCAGCTATCTATAGGCATGGCTAGTTATTTTTCCAGATTCTATGCACACTTGTCAGACTTGTGAACCTTTAAGACAGCTAATGCACAAGGAGGCAGCATGGGACTGGGAAGAAGTTCAGCAGCGGGTATTTGGAAGGATAAAGAAACTTCTTTATGTGAGGCACCAGTCTTGAAGAATTATAACTCAGAATGACAACTACAGAATTAATGCAGAACCAGCAACCCAAAGCATATGCAAGCTGGGCCCTGACCAATACAGAAAGAGAGTATGCTCAGATGAAGTAATTCTGACAGTTTACCTTTGGACAGAAGGTGGCCATGCAGTCTGGTTCACAAGCCACTGGAAAGCATTATGAAGAAACCACTTGATTGAACCAAAGTGATTCCAGTACTTGCTAGTGACACATCAGTGATATGTTATGAACATCAGATAATGTCCAGAGAAGTCACTGATACTGGCAGATAACCTGGAAGGTAAGCCCTGCTCAGAATATAACACATGTGGCTCCATAGAACTTGAGACTAAATCTATTAATGCTCTACAATATATCCATGTGTCCAAAAGAAGTCTCCAGACAATATGGGAGAGCACAGAATTAGATGAACATCTATAGACTGTGATACAAATTATACTTCGGGGTGGCCAGACCGCAAGGAACAAGTGTCCCAGGAAATCATTCCCTAGTGGCAGGGTAGAGATGAGCTATGTATACAAGATGGGATCCTGTTTAAAGGTGACAGATCTCTAATCCCTGCCAATCTGAGATGGGATATCTTGAAA